AGAAGGAAGGATTGGCTGCTTCTTTAACAACAGAATATGATTTGGGATTAAAATCTCCTTGGATAATCTAAAGCAGTAAAAGATGATCATTTATGATTGCTTCCACTTCACATAATAGTGTGTGAAGATCATCTTCATCTAATGTTTGTTGCTTCAAAAATAGAGTTCGACACCTTCCTGAAAGTACAAATCTATCTTTCCCATATTCCACCTTGATGGGAGGCAGTTGGAGTGTTAAAGGTCGCCTTGCTGCTGCAAGGTCCAAAAGGTCCAAAAAAGTCCACTCCCACATGTGTGAACTTAGGCTTGTCTGGGAGTACACACTGCTCCAATAAGTCTGCCATTTTTTGAACTGCAGGCCTCACATGTAATTTCCTGAATTTGATGCATTTTGATATTATTGTGCGGGCTGCTCTGTTCAGTCCTGGTATCCAGTACTGCTGTGTGACCTTTGCACAGTGACCATTCAGTTGATGAAGCTGTTACAGAATCAATCTAAGCAATGTGATGTTCTTTGTGCAACACTTCTTTGGGTGTCTTACTTCCTCTGACATGGCTGATTTGTTCATTCGACCTCCAACTTTGATGATCCCATCTTGGAGAAAAGGATCTAAATTGGAAAGTTGATTCGACCTCTTTACATGAGAATCCTTACTTAAGAGTGAGGACAACTCTTGGATATATATCTCTGACTGTGACATATTGGCACAAATTTTGCGTCTTTCAAGTCTTGCACAGACAAAGGTTTTCCTTTCATTGACTTTCTCAGTCTTGTCATTTCTTCAGGTTCTGCTTTAATGATTCCATCTATGTAAGGGCATTGCTTTCTTTTCTCATCTCAACAAGGTACTGGAGCAGGCCTTTCATGCATAGCATATCCATGCAACAGCTTTTTTCAGTTTGTGACAGTCAGAGTAGTATTCCACCAGTTTTCTCATGGGTGTAACTTCAGTCATGGTCAAGAAACTGACTAATGCTGTCTTTTTGATCTCACCGTCTTCGTCCATGATACTTGGTATGTCAGGCTTTGTAGGCCACTCAGACTCCTCTTCATAAAGGAAATGTGGACCACAAATCCAGTTGTGGTTCTGAATGAGAGTGGTAAATTTTGTACCACGTGAAGCTATATCTGCTGGATTAAGTGAACTAGTCATGTATCTCCATTGAGATGGTGAATTAGCTTACCTAATGAATGCAACCCATAAATCATCTGGCTTCATAAATATATTTATTTGGAACCTGGATAGCTCCTTGGGTTCTGAAACCCATTGCATCCATCTTTGCAAATCTCCTTCTCCAACATCCTCGTCCCAGCTCAATTTTCTTTGACAGAGTTCTCTCAAAATCAGCTTGGCAGGAAGAATACATGGGGAAATTAAGCCCAGAGAATCATAAACTGAGTTAACAACTTAGAGAATTCCTCTCCACATGGCAGGTTTTCTTGGCACGTTCACCTTAAACGTGAAAGTGTCCAACTCTGTACACCAGTGTATTCCTAGAGCTCTTTCGGTAGGCAGAGTGTCCTTGTTCAAGTTTAAATCCTTTATCTCTGCAGCTCTTTCATTTTCAGGAATACATGATAGAACCTTTCTACTGTTACTGACCTAGTTTGTCAGGTTGAATCCACCATGCAAGCATAGAGCTTTTAAAGATTGTGAAAGTGCTATTGCTTGGTCCTCTGTAGCCACACCTGCCAAACAGTCATCCATGTAAAACTTTCTCTTGGTTGTTTTAGCTGATTCAGCTGTTGTCTCATCTTCTTTGTCTTCTGCTGTCTTTCTTAAGGCAAAACAAGCACAACTTGGAGATGACGTGGCTCCAAAAATATGTACAGTCATTCTGAATTCCTCCAGTTTTCCGTTCAAATTTCCATTGGGCCACCATAGAAAATACAGGAAATTGGAGTCCTTTGAGGGTACCCTGACTTGGTAAAACTTTGCCATCAATGCAACTTTCTCCTCTCTAAACCTTGTCAACACTCCAACCAAAGTATTTGTCAGGTCTGGGCCTTCGAGTAACTGGTTGCTCAGTGAAACTCCTTGATATGTCGCAGTACAGTCAAAAACAACTCTGATTTTCTTATTTTTTTTAGATGATACATCCCCTTTGCTATGATGTCATACATGAAGGCTTTATAGTGAGCATGAAACTCAGGGTTTGAGATTGATGGCTCTCTGCTCAGTTAGACTGTGTCTTGCTCTTAAGTGGGAGACTTATACAATAATGTCTGCCGATGAGCTGATTAGACTGTTCCACATCTTTCATGAACTGCAGATCTTCTTGTGACATCTTGTGACAGGAATTTCATGTTGTGTGAACACTGAAGGTAGGTCAATTTATCTTTCCTCTTCAAATCCACTGACTTCCAGTTCTGACAGGATGTGACTATGGACAAGCTTCTCCTGTCCCATAGTTCGGAGTAAAATGTCCGTCTTTCTGCCTCTTAAGTTCAGTGCTCTCATGGTCTTCTCTGTGCAAAATGTCGCTGAACTGCCAGGATCTATAAAGGTGTATTTCTCAACTATTGTGTGCTTTTCTTGAGCTTTACCGGAACAGTGGCCAAAACTCCTTCTTTGCTTCCGGTCCCAGTGTATCCACACATCTCCTGGCCTACAGCACTAGTGGCCTGAGTTTCAGATGTGCTGTTTCGTTCATTTTTGGGTGATGTATTTTCTTCTCTTTTTATTTGTAGGATGCTTGGATGTTTCCACAAATAACTGACATGTCAATCTTCTTGAACAATCTTTACTCAATGGATTTCAAATATTCAATATTTTCCTTGTGTGCTAGCTTCTGGAACATTTCACAGTTGTCAAGAGTGTGATTCTTGTCAGATTACAAACAGTTATTCTGAGATACTTTGCCATTGTCAGTCTTTGTGATTTGGTTTGACTGTGACAATTTATGTTTTTCTGTGTCAACACTTGTAGCAAAACTGCTACTTCTTGGAGAACTTTCCTTTGATTTCCTCACAAAACAGCTTTTTTTTCTCTTTGTTTTGTAGATAGACTGACTTCCTGGAGATCACCAAACAATGGATCTAAAATGATCTTTGTTTGTCTGTCAATGTAATCTACCAGATCTGCGCACCTTGCTCTTCTTCCTTTGGTGTCCTGCATTTCAAATGCCACATTACGCCATCGCTCCCTCATCTTATATGGCAATTTGGACAGAATGACTCTCACGTTTGCTGGATTATCCATTTCTTCCATATAGTCAACATGTTGCATCGTGTTTTGGCAACCAATCAGGAAGAGAGAATAAGCGTTTAAGCCCTTAACATCATCTGTCTTTATCTGTGGCCATTTTAAAGCCTTTTCGATGCAAGCCATGGCTATTTTTAAATTATCACTATATTGCTTTTGAAGCAGTTGTCTGGCTTCTCTGTAGCCTATCTCTGTGATCATGTGTTCAAAGATTCTCTCCAGATCTTGTGGCTCTCCACATGTCTAATATATTGTAAAGCTCAACAGGAAGCAAGCTTTTCAAAATAAAACTAAGCTTCACAATAAAATTGGTCTGAACAAATATTAACCTTCTTTACTAAATCTGACAAAATTAAAAAAAATCAAAGCATTGTACAAATAATTTAAATATTTCTTATGTATAGCTCTAACAAATACTTTTGAGGACCGTTGATCAGATGCAATGAGGAATTACTTACATTTGTACAATTATTCAATGAATAACTATATTCATTGACAAATTGACACAGACTGTCAAATGGCTCGAATATATCAGATGGAAATTACATTGTTGTCAACAGAGGAGGCTGTTTCAAGAAAGAGGTGGCGCTCTCTCCATGACTGTTTCGTTAAGGCAAAATAGAGGATGAAAGGACAGAGGTGTGTACCCCAGGTGGTCTGCACTGTGTGTGAAAGGTGTGTGTATGAACAAGAAAGCCCCTCAACAACATGACTACAAATTGACTGTTTGGTTTAGAATGGCCTAGCTAAAGTGCAGACAAAGGCAAGACTTGAAAACTGATTTCAGAGACACTCCATCAAATTTGACTCAGCTTGAATTATAGTGTAGAGAAGAATGTGCAACATTTTAGGCTATTTATGTTCAAAGAAAACAGCTGTATTTGTAGCAACAGGTGGCTATGCAAGGCTTCAAGTCAGCGGAGCTATATAAATGCACACCAGACAATTCTAAATAATTTCTTTGTCAAAGAATATGAAAGCCATGTTACCTCCTTCTACATTAGAAATATGTGCCACTTTGTGCTGGTCTGTCACATAAATTTACAACAAAATACAGGGAAGTTGACAAAAAGTACTGGAACATGACAAAATGTGAGAAGATAAAGGCATAGGAATATTTTTGTAAGTCACTTCATGTTAAATATTTTGAAATGGAATTTGTGAAAAAATAATAAGATTGCCTCAAAACTGTGAATTATGAAACCAAGGAAACTCAACAATGAGAATAAACAACTGAATTATTGATGATCAGTAGAGTCTTCCCATCAGCGCAGACATAAAGTTAAGCCTATCGCCTTCCCAAAAGCAGTGCTTGTGGGAAGGCGATGTTCCTAACAATAAGCACAAGTGTTTTCCCTTCACAAAAGGGATGCTTGTTTAAAAATAAATGCACTGAGGTTATATGATGACATTACAAACCTTGAATGCCACATTGAAACATTCATGTCAGGTTCAGCAGAGGATAAGTACAGCATGAGGAACCTGGAAAATATGCCCTGAATGGTTCAGGAAGCTATAGGCTTGAGATTAGAAGTATGGTCTTCCTCCAAATTTTTTTCACTTTAGAATTTCTTTAATTGAAATTCTACTTCCCAACCTTTGCTCTTACTTGCATGAGGCGCAGACAAAGCAACGGGGATGATAGGTCTTCCCCAGAGCTGACACCACCTCCCCCTCAATGAAGTCCTGGCAGCTGAAGCAGCGAGTCCCGTACAGCCTCTGGTAGTCCAGAGTACAGATGTATTCACCTTGGCGCACAAAGAAGCCTCCTTGGGCAAGTTCACAATTACATACTAGGGGGGAAAAAAAGCACAGGAGAAAGAGAAAAATGTAAGGAGGAAGAGTTACGGATATTTGAAACTAATAACACCCAAATTGGAATAATTTATCTTTGTTGTGTTTTTATCTTCCATACTTTATTAGAAGAGAAATGGCTTTAGTTTCTTTGTTCTAAGTTTACTAATTAGATGACTTCTGAACACACAGCCAAATTTTAACTGTATATATAATTCTCCTTCAACTCAACAGTTTAGAACTACTACTACTTATATATGTATATATATATATACATACACGACATACAATCAGAGGCCCTGTCATCAAAATCTGACCAATCGGAAACCTCCACGCATTAACACATTAAAGCTGCAGAATGTAACTTTTTCGTAACCATGGATGTGGCCTGAAAATTTGAACAAGCCCCACCCCCTTGTTCCCTGCTGTGTCTCACAGCCCTCCCTCCACAGCCCCTCTCACACAGAGAAAACTAGCGTGAACGCACCAGCTATTAAACAAGGCTCCACAACGGTGGATAAACAGCTATGGCATCGGTAGGTATCAATGTTATGCTTTACATTTAAATAGTAGTCAGTTCATATTTTAATGTTCACTCTTTTTATAAGTTATAAATTGCTAGCAAGCTAACATAAAAGCAGCTACAGTGTGTTTGATAAGGTTTGCTAACTACCTCGGCAACATGTCAAACCAGTGAGTTAGCAGTTCAAATTTTTCGCTTTTCACGTTGTGACATTTCATCTGTATGCTATGCGACTAGAGTTCTGACATGAAGTCCATGGGCTACAATGAGGAAATTACACAAACAGCTACGGGCAGTAAGAAGAGGAAGCCATGTGCGTGAAGCATCAGGCAGGCCAGGTGGGAGATGGGTCATAGGTCATGGAGTCGGTCCAACTCCTGACCATCTCATCAGAGGTCTTAACGACATGTATAAAAATTAACTTTGTGTCACACTTTGCGTAAATATATTCACACTTTTTCCCTGGTGTGAAAATGTGCAGCAGCTACGCACATTTTTTCTGTGAATAATATCAAACTACAAAGCGTCAAAACTCACCTAAATACACTGAAATGTGACTACATTCAGTTATTTAGACCAGGAAGCATCAAACCTGATGTTGTTTTCATGATTTTAATCTTTTATTGTTTAAACCTAAACGATGAAACTGAACCGCATTTATCCTCAGACAGTAATCTAACAGCACACAAAATAAAGAAAATAAAAATAAAAGGATGTGAAAACCTCCCTAGGATGTAAGTAATATTTTTCCTCAGTTTTTGTTTCATAAAGATGTAACTCATTGGTCTGTGCGCCGAAGCGCATGGAATGCATCAAGGGCTGACCCAAGGCATAAGCAAACTAAGCGGCTGCTTAGGGCTATGGGACTACAAGGGGGCCCCCTAAGAGGAACTGATTTTTTATTTTTAATGATTTTGATGTAATTATATTAACAAAAACACAGAAATTCATTCTAAAATTGTGATATTTCTTTTTTACAATATATATATTTCATAATGTGTGTAGAAATCTTTCTTTTATGGGCAAAAAGAAAAATAAGTTTAAAAATTGCTCTTGGGGCGACTTAATAAGTCGATGAGCTATTCTAAGCTGTAGTTGGCGATATGTTGTTTGCTGCTGATAATTTATGCATCTTAAATAAACAATATTTTTACATCAACTTATAAATTATGTGAAACTTCTCCAATTAAAATTGTTTGAAGGCACAGAATTAACCTGGCACTGGTCCGCATTTATACCAGGTGAGAAAGACTCACCTGGTATAAATTAAATTTGTATCTATTGTAATTACACCCAAGAGAATTTAATTTAATCAAAGCATGTCATGAATATGTGTGTATGTATTCCATCTTAAGTTGGGTTGCACCAATTGCAGTGTTCTGGCCGATCTTTAAAAAGCCTGACCTGCCAATTTTGAGTTTGGCCAATAATTTTTTTTTGTCTGAAATGTCACTATATATAGCAAGAAAGTCACTGAGTTGGCAACAGTGGGGAGAACATTGTTAACTGCAAACATGCAGACCTGACCTGGTGGACCGATCTGTCAGTCAAACTTTTCACTGTATGAAAATCAAACATTATGCTTTTAAAGATATTTGTCTATACTGTCGAGAAAAGTCGAGCTCATCCCACTTCCCCATGCTGGAGATTTTAGTTTAATA